GTTGGTCATAGCTTTTCTGCCAAGGAGCAAGCATCTTTTAATTTCATGGCTGCAGTCACCATTTGCAGTGATTTTGGAGCCCCCAAAAATAAAGTCTGTCACTGCTTCCATTGTTTCCCCATCTATTTGCCATGAATTGATGGGATCGGATGCCATGATCTTAGTTTTCTGAATGTTGAGTTTTAAGCCAACTTTTTCACTCTCCTCTTTCACTTTCATCAAGAGGCTATTTAGTTCTCCTTTGCTTTCTGCCATAAGGGTGGTGTCATCTGCATATCTAAGACTATTGAGATTTTTCCCAGCAATCTTGATTCCAGCTTGTGCTTCATCCAGCCCAGCATTTTGCATGATGTACTCTGCACATAAGTTAAATAAACAGGATGACAGTATACAGCCTTGACGTACTCCTTTCCTGATTTGGAAGCAGTCTGTTGTTCCATGTCCAGTTCTACCTGTTGCTTCTTGACCTGCATACAGATTTCTCAGGAGGCAGGTCAGTTAGTCTGGTATTCCCATCTCTTTAAGAATTTTCCACAGTTTGTTGTGATCCACATAGCCAAAGTCTTTGGCATGGTCAATAAAGTAGAAATAGATGTTTTTCTGGAACTCTCTCACTTTTTCGATGATCCAATGGATGTTGGCAATTTGATCTCTGGTTCCTCTGCCTTTTCTAAAACCAGCTTGAACATCTGGAAGTTCATGGTTTTTGTACTATTGAAGGCTGGCTTGGAGAATTTTGAACATTACTTTGCAAGCGTGTGAGCTGAGTTCAATTGTGCGGTAGTTTGAACATTCTTTGGCATTGCCTTTGTTTGGGATTGGAATGAAAATTGACCTTTTCCAGTCCTGTGGCCACTCCTGAGTTTCCCAAATTTGCTGGCATATTGAGTGCAGCACTTTCACAGCATCATCTTTCAGGATTTGAAATAGCTCAACTAGAATTCCGTCACCTCTACTAGTTTTTTTTTTTGAAGTGATGCTTCCTAAGGCCCACTTGACTTCACATTCCAGGATGTCTGGCTCTAATCCAGTGATCACACCATCATGGTTATCTAGGTCATGAAGATCTTTCTGTATAGTTCTTCTGTGTATTCTTCTACCTCTTCTTAATATCTTCTGCTTCTGTTAGGTCCATACCACTTCTGTCCTTTATTGTGCCCATCTTTGCATGAAATGTTCCCTTGGCATCTCTAATTTTCTTGAAGAGATCTCTGGTCTTTCCCATTCTGTTGTTTTCTGACTCTCCTAGCCCTGGCTGATTCACCTGCTCACTATGATGAAACCATACTGACCTTCAGTTTCTTCTTGCTTCAGGGCCTGTGCACTTTCTGGTCCCCACCCTGATCCTTCCCTAAGGACAGCACCTTTGGTCTTTAGATTTCAGCTCAGAACTTTACCCTCTCAAAGAAGCTTTTTTTGACATCATTATGTAAAGAACCATTCCTGACTACTCACACAATTCTTTATGCTACCCTCTAGCTTCCTTCACAGCATATTTATAACTACTAGAAATCATTTTATTTATCTGTTTATTGTCTATCACCAACTCTATCAACATGAATCTGAGCAATCTCCAGGAGATAGTGAAAGACAGGGAAGCTCCAGTCCAAGTGGTCGAAAAGAGTTACACATGATTTAGTTACTGAACAACAGTCTATTCCCCCTCTACTAGAAATCTAAGCCCATTGAAAGCAGTAACCCTGAACCTAAAACAGTGCCTGACATATAGTAAGCATGCAAATTTTTTTGAATAAACTCTTGCAGTATCTATTTTGCTCTTTTAAAAAACCACATTTATAATATATAAAAAACACCTGTTTGACATCATTCCACTTTCTTCAAAAAGTGGCAAAGGGTGAAAGGTATGATTAATGAAAGACTGTTTAAATCTATTGACTATAAGACAGGAACTTTTAGTAGCATACCAGAATAAACTGTTATATCTGGTTTCTCACCAATTTTAGCTCCTTTTACAGTGTGGGCCAAGATAGTTCTGTTTGAAAGGAAAGAGAATCTGTTTCTTATTACATTCCCCCAGATAGGCGTTCACTTTTTCTAACTTAAAATTCATTACACTCTTTTTCAGGATCCTAGGCTATTACATAATTTCTTAAATGTCAACTTATTGAAACCTAGACCTTAATGTTACATTTTTCTCTCTTTGGTACTATTAGAAAATATCTCAGATAGAAACAGAGCTACTATCAGGTGCCATGACACACAGATTCTCAGGCTGTAACACAGGGTTCCAGCCCATCCTTCAGAGGAAACACTAGAGGTGCTGGGGAGGAGAGTTGGGGGTCAAGGAGACCAGAAAGTACACTGTGGAAGTGTGGCATTACTCCAATGTACAGGGTGTGGCCAAACTTCACAAGAGATAATAACTAGCAAGTCAAATCATTCCTTCCCTCTCCTCCAACAGGAATGAAATCTCCAAGTCAGAACAAATAAGACTTGTAAAATGCTTTATACCAGAGGAGACAGGATTACCCAACCTTGGATTGGGTAAGGAGGTGAGAACGAAGACTGAGCGGGAATACAAGTCAGGCCTTCATTGAAATACAATTTAATATTGTTTTCTTAATTTTTGTCTAGGATTGAGGAACATTTCCCATACTTTATACAAATCCACAGTGGAAGCCTTTGTTCATTATATTACTCAGTGTCCTTTATGTAAGGAAGCAGGCAATATATGCCTAAGAATTTAGTACAAGAGACAACTCTCACTTTTACATCAAACTTGGGGGTTTTCCTTTTTTACCAAACAATGCAAATTCTGTGTTGTCATGTACATTGTGAACTGGTACAGCCTTTAGAAATCTGCTAGCCCAGAATTTCCTAAATTGGGATTGAGGTGCTATGAAGAAAAAAACAGTTCTTTAAGCAACCAAGTTTCTTTCCTTCTTTGCATAACAATTTTACTGAGATAAAAGTCACGTTAAATTAATCAAACAAGGATACCACTAGACTGAGGTGGCGTCAATTCCTTAGTAGCCTACCTAAGTAAACCAAAACTTAAGCCTGTAATGCCCCAGGGTGAGGAGATCAGAATCCTAAGGACAATCAATCACGGACAGTCACCTGGGCTTTCCCAAATAAGACACCTGCTCAACCATAGCCAATCAAATATTTCCTCGCTTCATCTCCACCTTCTCTATAAAAGGCCTTCCTGAGCTCCTGCTACTTTCTATTTGGCACTGTCCAAATTCAAATCGATTTTTGCTCAAATAAACTTGCAATTTTAATATGACCCCATCTATCTTTTAACAGTAACACATTATAAAATTCATCCTTTTAAAGTGTACCATTCAGTTGTTTTTAGTATATTCACAGAATTGTGCTCACTATTTTTCAATTTCAAACATTTTCATCACCCTGAAAGGAAACCTCATGGTCGTTAGCAGTCATTTCCCCATTTCTCCATTCTCCCAGCAACAAGTTTAACCACAGGAATCTTTGCAAATTATTGTGAACCTAACCTGTTTGTGAATTTATGAGAGGGTACAGTGTACAGTGTTTCCCAAGCTTATTTAATAGCTAATATGCATGTATTATCTCAATTATCACAATAAAAATCTATGAGAATCTTTATATACAATAAATGTGGATATTAAAGCACAAAGAATAAAGCTAACTAAATTTGTTCAAATACTCTCAACCATATTCTACTCTACTATTTCCCACAGAACTGACCAGCTGTGGGATAACAGGCAACTAGTTTTCTAATGAATCAAATCTTTGAAAGTGCTTTAATTCAATTTCTTTAACTTGAAGAGAAATATAGGGTCCAGGAAAGTAAGCTGATTTAGCCCCAAATATATAGCATTCTTTCTTTCTCCTTTGATTTGTCTAATTGACAGCTTTGTTAGAACTCAATTATAATTAACTCTATAACCTCAGGCTCCTCACAATTCTCTCCCTTCTTTAAATATGCTTCACTTAAACAAAATCCTTTAACTCTGTAAGCTACCTTGAAACCTGTTGAGGCTGATTTTGCTCTTTCTAGGTGTGTTTCCCTGTGAGCAATGCACTTCTCCTTCACTTTTGCATGTATAAATCCTAGCCATCTTTTAATATCTAGTGAAGCTGGGGCATCACTCAATTTTCTTCCCAACCTGAGTGGATATCATCATCTCTCTCCTGTGTGCACCCACAGCCCTCATCGCTTCATCTGGATACTTCTGCCTGGAATCGGAGCCGTTCCTGTCTTGTGGCACCCCACCCGCTAGCTAAAGCTCCTGGAGAGCAGGAGTTGACAACAACTCCTAAAACCCAGCACGTGGGAGACACTCAGTAAGCACTGAACAGCTTCGTATCCACTCGTGGTCTAATTCCTCCAGAGCAAGAACAAAACTCTCCTCAAGTCAGCCCCCACAGAGAGAGTTTCCTGAAATCTAATCTCTCTCCTGCCAGAGCCCAGCGCTGTCTTGGAAATACTGCATACCTACAGCGAAGAGCAGCAGAATCGGATTTAGAAGACTTGAACCTAGTCTCTGCCTGAGACTTCAGAAGTCAGTCAGGCTGTAGGGCACAGAAGTGCTCGCTGCCCGAGGTCGGCCTTTCTGAACCGAGGGTCAAGTAACAAGCAACAGTAACTGGCCAGGGTGGCGGTAAGGCGGCGGCCCCTCCAAAATCCCGTCCCACCCTCGCGACGGTCCTGGGCGAAGGCATTCCACGCTCTCCGGACAGAAACCCGAGCCGGATGAGGGGACACGGGCTGAGCTGAGGGCTCCTGGTCGGTGGGTGACAGAGGAAGGCCTCGAACCCAGGTCACCGCTTCCAGTTCAGGGGATCTGGGCGGAAAGAGGGAGGGTGGAGAGGGGTCCTGCTCGCTCCGCCTCAGTCCCTCCTGCCGCCTGTTTGCACCTCCCGACCCTGGGTCACCAGACTTGGACCGGGTCTGGGGGTCGCCAGCACCCCGCCCCCTGCTCCGCGCCATCTTGGAGCGCTGAGGCGACCGCTCTGGACCTCCCCGAACCGCTGCTCCAGCAGTTACTCACCCGCACTGCCCGGGGCCAGGCCCCCTGCCACCTCCGCGACCCCAGCCACCGTCAGGAGAAGCAGCAGCGCGCCTCGCGGGGAGGCCCGGACGGTCGCCATGTCCAGGCCTGGGGCTCCAGGGCCGCTAGATGCTCGGACCCAGCCTGCCCGCCGCGGCAACTCGCGGAGACCCCGCCCTGGTGGCCCGGACCCCCGGTGATTGGCCGCGGAGAGAAACCCCGCCCCTCGGCCGCAAGGATTTTCCAAAACCTGCTGGGGGCGGGAACCTGCCCGAGACCCCGCTCTTTGTTAAGGCCCAGCGAGCTATCTGTCCGCTTCTGCGGCGGAATCTGGCAGCCGGCGTTCTCCAAGAGGCGAGGCAGAGGATGTCAGGGTTGCCAGGGTCCTAAGAACGCCTCGACCTCCCGAGGTTTGCAGATGCGGTCACTGAGGCTCAGCGAAGAGACCATCAGCCCAGGGTCACACCGCAAGTTCTCCTGAGAACTGGGGCACAGGCCAAGGCTGAACCAAAGGGACTTGTCCCTTTCACGTACTTCAGTGATCTTCATATCCTTCCTGCCGGACGCTGCCTCACACCCCAAGAGGGCGTGTCATCCGGGACAACTCCCCCTCCCCTGAAATCGGAGGGGCTCTGCCTCTGACAATCTCCTGACAAGAGCCCAGGCAGGAATTCGCCACCAAATCTCTTCGGCACGTGTAGCCTCACTGTGTCTTTGATGTTCTAAGGACACCTGATGTTCCCATCAGGAGAATGTGGAGAGGGGAATGCTTGTGTATCTAAACATGGAGAGCCTTGAAGGCCAGGCTGGGTTTAGACTTTAAGAGACAATTTGGAGGTGGGTCCGCTTATTATCAAAGCGTTCTCCAACCTCCACCCCGTTCCTATGTCTCTCCTCTTCCCCTCTTTTCCTTTTGTCAATTATGTAATACCTTTTTTCCTTTCCTCTTCCTTAAAAAAAAAAAAAAAAAACCCATAACCACAGTTACATTTTAAAATATGGAATATCATTAAATATCCAGTGTTTACATTTTCCTTATTGTCTCATAATTTCCTTTTACAGTTTTCAAGTTCCAACCAAAGGCCACATATAGAAGTTCGTTTGTATGTCCTTTAGGTCTCTATCTATTGTCTCCTTTAGGAAAATGTGAATAAGTTACAATAATCTTTCTAAAACGTTTGTTCTGGCAACAACCCTCTTGCTTCTCTGAGAAACCACCTCTTTACTTACAGGATGGAAAGATGTACAGTTATTCAACATGGTATCAGAGGCTTTCAGCATTTAGACCCAATCACCTTTACCAGTTTCATCTCACCTTACATCCCACTTCTCCCTAGGAGAGAAGAGTCAAAAAACCTAGAGTTGCGCTGATATGGTAGCCACAAGCCACATGTGGCTGTTGAGTACATGAAACATAGCAATTCCAAACTGAAATATGCTGGAACCAGATTTGGAAGACTTAGTATGAGAACAAGAACCTTGCTTATTTAACTTATATGCAGAGTACATCATGCAAAATGCCTGACTGTACAAACCACAAGCTGGAATCAAGATTGCATGGAGAAATATCAGTAACCTCAGATATGCACATGACATCACCCTTATGGCAGAAAACAAAGAGGAACTAAAGAGCCTCTTGATGAAAGTGAAAAAGGAGAGTGAAAAGCTGACTTAAAACTCAACATTCAAAAAACAAAGATCATGGCATCTGATCCCATCAATTCATGGCAAATAGATAGGTAAACAATGGAAACAGTGACAGATTATTTTCTTGGGTTCCAAAATCACTGCAGATGGTGACTGCAGCAGTGAAATTAAAAGATGCTTGCTCCTTGGAAGAAAAGCTATGACAAACATAGCACATTAAAAAGCAGAGATATTACTTTACTGACAAAGGTCCATCTAGTCAAAGCTATGGTTTTTCCAGTAGTCATGTATGGATATGAGAGTTGGACCATAAAGAAAACTGAGCACCGAAGAATTGATGCTTTTGTGCTGTGGTGTTGAAGAAGACTCTTGAGAGTCCCTTGGACTTCAAGGAGATCCAACCAGTCCATCCTAAAGGAAATCAGTCCTTAATATTCATTGGAAGGACTGATGCTGATGTTGAAACTCCAACACTTTGGCCACCTGATGCGAAGAATTGACTCACTGGAAAAGACCCTGATGCTGGAAAAGATTGAAGGCAGGAGGAGAAAGGGATGACAGAGGATGAGATGGTTGGATGGCATCACCGACTCAATGGACATGAGTTTGAGCAAGCTCTGGGAGTTGGTGATGGACAGCCTGGTGTGCTGCATTCCATATTGTCGCAAAGAGTCAGACACGACTGAGTGACTGAACTGAAAATGTTATTAAAACTAATTTCACCTTTTTAAAAAAACTTGTTTTTGTTTTAAAATGACTTTATTTTTTAGAGTGGTTTTAGGCTCACAGAAAAACTAAGCAGAATTTACAGAGATTTCCCATATACCCCCTGCTTCAACATAAAATATACTTACAGACCCCTCCACTATCAACATCCCCACCACATTGGTGCATTTGTTACAACTGATGAAGCTGCACTGACACATCATTATCACCCAAAGTCCCCCGTTTACCTTAGAGTTCATTCTTGGCTTTACACATTCTGTGGGTTTTGACAAATATATAATGACATGTAGCCACCGTTATTCTTTTTACTTTTTTTAGTGTGACTACTAGAAAACTTAAAATTATGTTTATGGTTCACTTTGGGGTTCACATAGTTCTATTGTACAGTGCTGGTGTAATTACTTTTCATTCTAAACAAAGGTTAATGCTCAGAGATCATCTTTAAAGTGGCACTTTAAAAAATTGTTACTCATCAATGATTTTGTCCTGAGCTGAAAACATCTTTCTATATTTCAGATAAATAAAACCCATCAAATCTTTTGATTCATCTTTATGGACTATAATTTCCCCATCATTTTACTTTTGTTTCTTTATAAAGTATTTCAAGTAATCTTCCTGCAGAAATCAAATAGGTGGTTGCTTTTAAAAAAATTTTAATATGATAATATTTGCCTTTTAATGCGAGTGTTTGGATTTAATGTAATTATTGATATATGGTTGAGTTTAAATCTATCTTGCAATTTGTTTTCTATTTACTCCAGTTCTTTTTTCCTTTTTCCTACTTTTCCTACCTTCTCTCAGAATAATAAAGTGTTTGGAGTGCTGTTTTTATTATTTCATTATATCTCTTCTATTGGCTTATCAGCTCTACTTCTTTGTTTTACTTTTCAGTAGGTGCGCTAGAGTTTATCGTATACAGTTTAACTTATTACAGTCCACCTTCAAATAATAATCATCACTTCATGTCAAATGTAAGACGTGACGCCAGTATACTTCCATTTTCTCCTCCCATCTTTTGTGCTAATGTTACCATACATTTTGCTTCCACGCACTGTTATTATTTTGCTTTAAATAGTCAATTATTCAAGAGATTATAAAATGAGAAACTGTGTTTTATATTTACCCACATGTCAAGCATTTCTGATGCGCTTCATTCCTTTATGTAACTCCAGATTTCTCTTTGGTATCTAGAGGAAGAGAAATATTTTGATTAAGAACATGGCAGGTTTTGCTGATTTTAATTAACTAGGACCCCATACATTGGTTTTGGGCATTTATGCATACTATTAATACATTCCTGAAGTTAATTTTTAAAGGAAATGATTTTTCTCACTTTATTTAGCTTAAACACATTTTCTTGTCAATCAGAGACAGTCTATCCACTCCCATCAGTCCCCAGCAACGTGACTCACTGGGATGGGGAAGGAGGCAGGCCCCTGGAAAAGGGAGGCTGTAGTGGGCTGGGACACGGAACCAAAGAGGGGCTTGAAAATATGAGATAAGAGGGGATCTGAGCCTTGTCTCCCGTGGAGCTCAGAGAAGGGACACATCTCATAAAGTTCCCCTGAACTTAGCATGATGGGCATGTAGAGGAGATATGGCTGCAAACGTGTCCTGTCCCCGCCCCCACCGAGAATGCCACAGAAGAGGAGCTTAGGGTTTTCTGTCCCTGCTGGCTCAGGTGGTGAAAAATCTGCCCAGCAAGGCAGGAGACTCGCATTAGATCCCTGGGCTAGGAAGACCCCCTGGAGAAGAGAACGGCAACCCACTCCAGTATCCTTGCCTGGAGAATTCCATGGTCAGAGGAGCCCGGTGGGCTACAGTCCATAGGGTTACAAAGAGCTGGACACGACTGAGTGACTGGCCCAGGAGCTGAGAGAGCTGAGAGCGCAAAGAAGCCTCAAGATCATAACAAGGAGGCTGTAACTGGTGTCTGCATGGTCTGTACAACTGGATGCCAGATGAGAATGCAGGTATCAGGGGGGATTGATTATGACAACTGAGGACCAGATGTCCTGCCTTCCTCCCCAGTCCCAGCTGGTGGGTTTGACTCTATATATTTTCCTCTCAAAACTATGGAGGGGGTTGGGGAGAGGCCTTGACTCAGCTGAGACCCTACTGAGTGACCAAGATTAAGTTTCAGTCGTTCGGCAGGAAGGGGACTTGCAGAGACAAGTAGCTGTCCATCAGAGAGTTGTGCAGCCCTGCTAGAAACTGTCACTCAGAAGCAACTGCCCGGCCAGAGCAAACATTTTCTGAGTGCTATCACGTTCTCTGTTTGTTTACTGACTGTGACTATAACCTTGGAGAACAAAGGATCCCATGCCTTGGAGCAGAATCGGTGTATTTGACAGTCCCATTGCCCTTATATTGAGATCTCACAGGACAGAGAGAAGCCCTATCGCCAAGTCATTCAATAAGAACACATTATAAAACTTAACATTGTGACCTCAGCCTGTGATGCTGGTACAATATCTTGCCAACGTCCAGTAAGCCCTCTAAACATATGAGCCTGTGAGTATGAAATTGTCCCCATTCTCTACTTTCCTTGCCTGCTTACTTCAGCAATTTTCAAACTTAAAAAATATTATTTTTATTTTTTAGCAATGGGACCCTTTTCCCAACAAAATCTTACAGAGTCCTACCATATAAAATAGAATTTAAAAAGCTGCATTTCAGTGCTACATTCATTTTCTCAGTTCAAACATATAATTAATAATAATTAATTGGTTCAAAGACAATAAATGAGAATTCAGATAATAAGTGAAATTTTGATAAACACAAAAACTTGCAATTGGGAATTATGTTTGATAATGTGGGCTTCCCTGGTAGCTCAGCTGGTAAAGAATCTGCCTGCAATGCAGGAGACCCTGGTTCAAGTCCTGGGTCAGGAAGATTTCCTGGAGAAGGAATAGGCCGCCCACTCCAGTACGCTTGGATATAAAGAATCCGCCTGTGATGTGGGACACCTGGGTTAAATCCCTGGATTGGGAAGATCCCCTGGAGGAGGGCATGGCAACCCACTCCAGTATTCTTGCCTGGAGAATCCCATGGACAGAGGAGCCTGGCGGGCTCTATTATAGTCCATGGGGTCCCAAAGAGCTGGACATGACTGAATGACTAAGCACAGGACAGCATGATAATTGTAGTCACACCAGTTTTGGCTTCCATTTCTGTACTTTGTTTTGGTTGCCTGTTGTAGAGAAAATCCTGCTTCATACAGATGAGTAGTTTGCAAAGGGTCTTGGTTTTTGAATTAGCCCACCTTGCATTCTCTGACTACTCTTTGTTCAAATTAACATGGTACCTTGAAAAATAAATATTGAGAGATTTTTATTTCAATACTGACTCAGTAACACTTATGTCCATACCAAAACCTGCACATGGATATTTGTAGCAGCTTTGTTCATAACTGCTAAAACTTGGAAGCAACCAAGATGTCTTTTAGTAGGTAAGTGGTTAAATTAACTGTGATACCTCCATACAATGGAAGATTGTTGAGCAATAAAAAGAAATGAGCTAATCAAACCACAAAGAGTGTTGTATGGAAGGAGAGAAGGTTAGCACCCACCTTGACAAGGATGGAAGAGGCCCTTGTGCCTGACAACACACAGACGGTTAAGGCATTGATACCTACTTTGTGGCATCTAACCACTATTTTTAAAAGGGGCTGGTGGTGGCAGAGGATGAGATGGTTGGATGGCATCACCAACTCAACGGACATGAGTCTGAGCAAACTCCGGGAGACAGTGAAGGACAGGGAAGCTTGGCATGCTGCAGTCCGTGGGGTCGCAAAAAGTCAGGCACGACCTAGCAACTGAACAAAACAGAATAATAATCACGATGTTAGAAATAAAAGAAAACCAATACCAACAGCAAAAAAAAAATAAATAACAACCCACAAAAAGGGATGAAACTTAAAAGGCATATTTCTGAGTGAAAGAAGCCAATGTGAAAAGTTTACATGCCTTCAGATTCCAACTTGAAAACATTCTGGAAAAGGCAAAATTGTGGAGACAATAAAAAGATTAAGGATTGCCTGGGGCTAAAGGGGGAGGGAGGGGTGAAGAGGCAGAGCACAGAGGATTTTCAGGTCAGTTAAAGTGTTCTGTTTAAAACTATAAAGCTGGATACATGTTATTAAACATTTGTCCAAACCTACACACCAGGAGTGAACTCTAAACTATGAACTCTGGGTGATGATGTGTCAAGATAGATTCACTGATTGTAACAAAGATACCGTTCTGCTGATGGGTGTTGATAGTAGGAGAGGAAGTGGGCAGAGGGGGACCTGGCATATGAGAACTGCCCAGTTTTGCTGTGAACCTAAAATTGCTCTAAAAAACAAACTGTATTGATTTTTTAAACACCAGTTCGACATTAAAAATAAAAAAATATTGATTCACTAATAAAGTTTGGATAATTGCTCAAATTCCTTATCGTAAATGTAGTCAGAGAAGTAACACCCCCAAATGTCTGGTTAACTCCAATAATATATATAATGTGACATTATTACTGTGTGACCACTGACATGTTCCTTTGTCATTGTGCAATTGGCTATGACACCGTGATGAGAACATGCACCAGGCAGATGATTCTGAGCTTTGCCCAACACTTAATTGGAAACAGTGCACATTTGTATTCCTTGGTACTATTATACGTAAGCAGTTGAGCGTAGGCTTGGATTTGAGAAATGCTCAGTGCAGATTTACACTTTTTCTAATCAAGGACACATTCGAAGAAGACAAAAGGAAATATGCAAAAAAAAAAAAAGAAAGAAATATGCAGAGATGGTAGGAAAAGATTTATTCTGAGGTCTATGAAAAGGAATCATCTCACCACACACATACTGTTGTGATAGTGGTTTCTTGTGTGTCAAAAATCAAAATTCAAGTTTGTGTGTGTCCATGGTCTTACTTAAAAGTTATTTAGTTATTTAGTTGATACATTAAAGAAGCTCAAATCAAATATTTGTAGAGCCCAACAAACTTCCATTTGGGAGCAGCTTGATTCTTGCTTGATTAGACTATATTATTCAAGAGTTTTGTGCAAGAGTTTTGTATGTTGGAACATGTCTGTTTTAATTCTGATACCCTCTTTCTCTTCCAAAATAATGAATCATGCTCTCTTCCACAGCTGGAATAAATATGTCATTCTGTTGTCTTTTTTGCTTTGTGTAATCATGATGGTGTTTACATTTAATTCTAATTCATCCTGTTTCTGACAGCATGTGGTGTGATGTATGGATCAAAGGCAAACCTTCATTCAGTTGAATGTCACTGTTGTCCCACTGTTTATTAAAAACTGATTCCTTTTCATGCTATTAATTTTGACCTGATGTGTATATGTATTAAATTCTTATAGTTGGAATTAATTTTCTGCTATCTCATAACCATTGATTTTACACACACAAAAATATCAACACTTTTAAAAAAAAGAGCCAGTGGTCTGTTGTTCAGTAATTGTTACATTTTAGTAAGTTCAAATCTGGCAGGAAGACTCCAACATCATTACCTTCAAAAGATCCTTGTTCTGTTATACTTTACAAGCTCAGTAGAGTCTTCTGGGGAATTAAAAATACTAAACAACTTTGTTTCTAAGCCCAGTTTTCCTATTGGCCTTACCACAGACACAGTGAAATTTGATTTGTTGTAGGTTAGAGACCAGGAATATGAATATTAAAGAAATTCTTCTAATTGTTACAATTTGAGAGGTTCCACCTTAAAAATTAAGGTTATTGTCTTATATTTATACTCTCAGCCCCTGATCCATCACTCTGCCTTCATTTACACCCCTAAAACACTCATCATTTTTTCCTTGACACAGTCGTCATGTCTAGAATTACGTTTGTTCTCAATTATTTGGTACTTTTACTACTGTAAATAAGATATTACCTCTGTTTTTATTTTTGCTCCATATTGATGGAATGTAGGAGTACAATTGACATTTGAGAACTTATTTCTATATCCTTAACTTTCCTGAACTCTTAGTACTGATAATATTTTTCTAGTTAATACTTAGAAATACAATCATTATGTTTTCTATAGAAATTGACATGCTTCTTCCTCTGCTATGTTAATGCTTCTTATTTTGTACTTGACAACATTTTTATATCTATCTGCACTTGACTGGAGAAGGCAATGGCACCCCACTCCAGTATTTTGCCTGGAAAATCCCATGGATGCAGGAGCCTGGTAGGCTGCGGTCCTTGGGGTTGCTAAGAGTTGGACACGACTGAGCGACTTCACTTTCACTTTTCACTTTCACACACTGGAGAAGGAAATGGCAACCCACTCCAGTGTACTTGCCTGGAGAATCCCAGGGACGGGGGAGCCTGGTGGGCTGCCGTCTATGGGATCACACAGAGTCGGACATGACTGAAGTGACTTAGCAGCAGCAGTACTTGACTGCACTTTAGTGCTATTTGAAATGGGAATGACTGGTTTTGGTCTAGCATGGAAGAAGCTTGGGAGATGCCAACTCCCAAGTAGCTTGTACTAACAAGCTAAGAAGTTAGTAGCTTATACTAACAAGCAAAAATCTGAACAGACTTATTGATAAACCAACAATTCTTCTTAGACCTGTAAGAGAAGTGAGGTCACAGGGCAGACTGCTACCCCCAAATTGGAGAGAATAGCCTGGGTTGCTGATGCTGGAGGACTTGGTACCTGCAGGAGTTGCTTCCTTGCCTCTATGCTCAGTCCCTTGTCCGTCATCCCAAGTCTGCAGGGCCTACTACTCAGAGGTGTAGCAGCACCTAGAACTTGGCAGAGATCCAGAATCTCCAGCCTCACTTTTAAGTCAGAGAATCTGAATTGGTATTTTCACAACCTCCCCAGGTGACTCAGGAACCTTTTCAGGCTTCACCAAGTACTGACCTCAGGAGCTTGCAGAAATGTCCACCAGAGGGCAGGTTTGCAGCAGGCACAGGTATCCAGAGACACCACCGGCCACCCAGATTCATTGGCGTAAAGCAACTCTGCTGTGATGTGACCGTGGTTATGCACAAAGTCAACAATTTCTAGCCAGCACTTCTAGAAATTCGAAGCTCTTTTCTTCTAGGTTCTTAGATATAAGCTTCCATTGCCTATGAAACAAAGGCATGATGGTCAGTCTACTTTTTAGTTTTAGTCACGTGGCCCACAATGTGAACCTTGGGAGACTCCCTTCTGTTTGCTGGGTTCTCACTTCTCTACCAGGACAATGGGGAGTTTGGAGACCGTGTGTTCTGGAGGCTGAAATTCTGTGACAGTCGCTCAGTTAGGTGTTTCTGACTCACCAGGTTCCTCACAGTAGCCTTCACATCCTTGTTCCTCAGGCTGCAGATGGTGGGGTTGAGTATGGGGGTCACCACCCCATAGAAGAGGGAGGTGAGCTTGTCTGCAAGGTCCTGTTTGTCTGCCCCAGGGCGTCCTTGGATTTGGGCTTCCCATACATGAAGAGGATGGTCCCGTAGAAGATGAACACCACTGTGAGGTGGGCAGAGCAGGTGGAGAAGACCTTTTTCTTCCCTACTGCTGAAGGGGTCCTCAGGACAGAAACAATGATGAACACATGGCAGAAAAAGATGAACAGAACTGAGATGCTCATGAAAATAACAGTTGTTATCCGCATGCTGATCACATTGACGGAGATGTTAGCACAGGCCATGGCACTTCAGGACAGCCAGGATCTCACAGGTGAAGTGGTTGATGATGTCGTCCCCGCAGAAGGGCAGCCTCACAGCCGGGGTTGTCTGAACTACAGAGTTGGTGATACCAGCTGCTTAGGAGCCAACAGCCATGGGCATGTAGGCGGCCTTACTCAAGACGACGGAGTACCTTAGGGAGTGGCAGATGGCTACAAAGTGGTAAAGTGCCATCATGCTCAGGAGCACAAACTCTGTTCCTGCCATGGTGAAGGAAAGGAACATCTGCACGGCACAAGTTGAGAAGGAGATGGTTTTCCTGGGGGGTCAGGAAGCTGTCATGGATGAGCGGGACTGAGGAGTTTGTGTAGCAGATGTCCAGGAAGGAGAGGTTCCCCAGGAAGAAGTACATGGGCGTGTGCAGGCGGGAGTCAAGGATGGTCACCACGATGAGGATCCCATTGCCCAGCAGGATCACCAGGTACGTGAGCAGGATGAGCACAAAGAGCTTTCTCCAGCTTTGGGTGGGCTGAGAGGCCCAGGAGAATGAACCCCACCAGGGGGGAGGTCTGATTGGATCCATCCATAGTGCCTCTGATCTGTCACCTGCAGGAACTCAGAAGCTCAACCTCAGCACTCTCTGACTGAAGTGCTGACTTGCTAGTGAGGAATGCCCTCTCTGCTGAGCAAGAGGAAAACAATTTTAACAATGATGGTTTCTCTGTGGTTCTCAGTAAGGTTCTGGGGACTAGAAAAGAATCTCATTTGTCGTCTTAAGCCACCCTCTGTGCAAGAGACATCTGAGATGCCCCTGTGGTGATTTAACTTACCTGACCAGACATACTCATTTCTACTAAAATATCCTAGATGGTAGACTTCTCTTGTTAAATCTTGGTCAGAGAGAGTGGCATTGGAACATACATTGTTGTTGTTCAGTTGCCCAGTCGAGTCTGACTCCTTGCGACTCCATGGACTGCAGCATGCTAGGCCTCCCTATCCCTCACTATCTCCTGAAGTTTGCCCAAGTTCATATTCATTCCACTGGTGATGCCATCCAGCCATCTCATGCTCTGATACCTTCTTCTCCTTCTGCCCTCCATCATTCCCAGAATCAGGGACTTTTGCAATGAGTCATCTGTTCGCATTAGGAGACCAAAATATTGGAACTTCAGTTTCAGCATCAGTCCTTCCAATGAGTATTCAGGATTGATTTCCCTAAAGATTGACTGGCTTGATTTCCTTGCTGTCCAAGGGACTCTCAAGAGTCTTCTCCAGCACCACAGTTCAAAGGGGCATCAATTCTTTGGTGCTCTACCAGCTCTCACAACCATACGTGACCATTGGGAAGACCATAGCCTTGAGTATATGGACCTTTGTTGGCAGAGTAATGTCTCTGCTTTTCAGCACACTGTCTGGGTTTGCCATAGCTTTCCTGCCAAGAAGCAATTGTCTTCTGACTTCATGGCTGCAGTCATCATTTGAAGTGATTTTAGAGCCCAAGATGGAGAAGGCAATGGCACCCCACTCCAGTACTCTCGCCTGGAAAATCCCATGGACGGAGGAGCCTGGAAGGCTGCAGTCCACGGGGTCGTGAATAGTCAGACATGACTGAGCGACTTCACTTTCACTTTTCACTTTTATGCATTGGAGAAGGAAATGGCAACCTACTCCAGTGTTCTTGCCTGGAGAATCCCAGAGAAGGGGTCGCACAGAGTCGGACACGACTGAAGTGACTTAGCAGTAGCAGTAGAGCCCAAGAGGAGGAAATCTGTCACTACTTCCACCTTTTCTCCTACTTGCTATGAAGTAGTGGGGCTGGATGCCATGATCTTAGTTTTTTTTTTAATGTTTAGTTTTAAGCTGGCTTTTCACTCTCCTCATTCACTCTCATCAAGAGGTTCTTTAGTTCCTCTTTGCTTTGTGCCATTAAGGTGGTATCATCCGCATATCTGAGGTCATTGATGTTTCTCCCACCTATCTTGATTCCAGCGTTTAACTCATCCAGGCTGACATTTCTCATGATATGCTCAGCATATAGTTTAAATAAACAGGGTGACAACAGACAGCCCTGTCATACCTGAATCAATCAGTTGTTCCATACAGGGTTCTAACTGTGGCTTCTTGACCCACATACAGGTTTCTCAGGAGACAGGTAAGATGGTCTGTATCTCCACCTCTTTAAGAGCTTTCCACAGTTTGTTTCCATGTGTACATTACCACATGTAAAATAGACAGCCAGTGGGAATCTGCTGTATGATGCAGGGAGCTCAATCTGGTGCTCTGTGACAACCAAGAGGGGTAGGATGGGTGGCAGGTGGGAGTTGGAAGGGAGTTTCAAGAGGAAGGGGACATATGTATACCTACAGCTGATTCACGCTGATGTATGGCAGAAACCAACACAACACTGTAAAGCAACTATTCTCCAGTTAAAAATAAATAAATAAATAAAAATCTTTGTCAGAAAAGTGAACCAGGTTCACTTCATGCTTTTGTCCCTTGGTGTCCAGGGCTGGTGAAATGATGAGCCCTGAAGCCACCGCTCTTGGCAGGCTTTCTTTGCTTCATGGTATCCTCATAGAAACATCTTTTGACCTTCCCCTTTCCTCCTGTAATAGACAACCAGGCCCCAGGCCATCCTCTCATCTGTCACTTCACCCTATCCTGTCTTCCTCTCTCCATTCATCAGCCAACATGACTCACTCACACATGACTGTGAAACCCCACAGCCGTTCAGGAATGATGCCCTGGCTCCAAAAGAGACAGCAGTTCCAGGGAGAGGGTACTGATGGGTCACTTTGAAAGGGCAGGCTGGACAGGAAGGCCACCTGGGGAAGGTAAGGAGGGTGAGGCTGGACTTAGGCAGCTGTGTTGTGGAGTATGGTTGCATTCTAAAGTGTTAATCATCCCCCTGGCTGCAGTGCCATCCTGGCCAGTTTGAACTGATGCTCCGGGAAACCAGGCTGCATTTAACAGCCACCATCTCAGCCTCTGGAGAGCCCCAGTTTCCTGATTGATTTCTCATTCCATGGCCACTGAAGTCAGGCTAATGCCTCTTCCCTGACTCCGAAGACCTCAGCCTTAGAAAAGGGAATTCCAAACATCTAGTCTCACTGAATTTTCCTTTGTACATCCAAGCTACATCCAACAATCCAATAGGATTATTAAGCAATATTCCTGTCCACCAATGAAGATCTCATTACCTTTTTAGGAAGCCCAGTTTAGCTTTATAAATCTTGTATCATCTGAAAATTTTGTTTCTTGGGTCAAATCTCTTAATATCTTCCTTGTTCTAGTTCTGCTCTCTGGGGACATATACAGCATGGGACCCCTTTCTGCCCCATAATAGCTCATCAGAGATCTAAAGATAAAGATGATTCTCTTAATTCTCCCCTTTTCCTGGGTCACACCCTGAGCCAGGCAAATCCAAATGTCTATGATAGAATCCAGGCATCAGTTCTTGTTAAAGCTCCTCAGATGGCTTCAATGTTCAGCCAAAGTTGAGAACACTATCCTAACTTTGTATCCCAGGTATTCCATTCTGCCATTAGGACTTTTTAAAAACAAACAGACACCAACAAACAAGCAAATCAAAGTCTTTAGAGATTTCTGTGATTTCTTCCTAGACATGTGCTTGATCAAAAGACTTTCCTGGAATAAGCACTATCTAGGGACAGGTTTTGAAGGCAAGCATCTTCACCTTCCTTGGGCTTTTCTGAGGCCCTATTACCAGTCATATTATACCCTCTGCCCCTAAAAGCAAACGTCAGAATGACTTAAACGACATAAATGACTGACTGCCTGTCTCCCCCGACCTCTTCCCCACACAGGTGGGGTCTGCAGGAACTCTGTCGGGGCCCCGTACCTCCGAGGTCAGAGTCCCTCTCTGACCCAGGGGTTAGATGTTACGAACCCCCTTGAACAGCTCCTCTTCCACTGGAGGAAGGAAGACATGTGGCTTATTCATGAGTGGAATCACGGTTCCAACCTCCTCCTCCCTGTCATAAGAATAAAACTGAGGAATGTTTCCCTTTGGCATCACTTAAGCCCGATAAATTTGATTTGGAAGTAATTCATGTTTAGAAAGATTTTTCCAAAATACTTTCTTCCAGTTCAGTTCAGTCGCTCAGTCGTGTCTGGCTCTCTGTGACCCCATGGACTGCAGCACGCCAGGCCTCCCTGCCCATCACCAACTCCCAGAGTTTACTCAGTCTCATGTTCTTTGAGTCAGTGATGCCATCCAACCATCTCATCCTCTGTCGTCCCCTTCTCCTCTTGCCTTCAATATTTCCCAGCATCAGGGTCTTTTCAAATGAGTCAGTTTTTTGCATCAGGTGGCCAAAGTATTGAAGTTTCAGCTTCAACATCAGTCCTTCCAATGAATATTAAGGACTGATTTCCTTTAGGATGGACTGGTTGGGTCTCCTTGCAGTCCAAGGGACTTACAGGAGTCTTCTGCAACACCACAGTTCAAAAGCATCAATTCTTCAGCGCTCAGCTTTCTTTATAGTTCAACTCTCAAATCCATACATGATTACTGGTAAAACCATAGCTTTGACTAGATGGACCTTTGTTGGCAAAGTAATGTCTCTGGTTTTTAATATGCTGTCTAGGTTGGTCATAGCTTTTCTTCCAAGGAGTAAAAGTCTTTTAAATAGATGCACAAAAATAGTCGTAGAAACAGCTATGGGGTGGAAGCTACCTGCTTATTCAGGGCTTCCTAAAACATACCATACTGGCCATCCTTCAATTCTGGCTTTCATTATTCTGACAGAAAACTGTAGACCCAGGTGTGGCAGGTCCTAAGGGTCTGACTAGACCAACCTCCCTATCCTGCTCTCAAAGAATGCAGGTCCACTACTCCCTTGATTATGGTGCTCTGGCCTCAGCTGGAATACTTGAGTGAAGCAGGCTCTCTGCTTGCTGAGGTTTATTTTATTTTAAAGTAGTTCCCATAGACAGACAATTCTGCCTCCCTACAATTTCCATCCTGCTCTACCTTTTGCAGCCTTCAAACAAAGTTGGTTCTTTCCCCATGCCCTCCAAATATTTAGAAATAAGTTGGTTTTGGCAATAAGATGATAGAGAATTAACCCTGTTACTCTTACAGCATCCAAAAAATGTCAAATAGTTTTAGAGGAATTGTCCACAGTTCCTGTATAACTGTGAGATATCTTTCTGGATATTATGTCCTACCAGGA